TAATGGTGTTTCATTTACTTTTGTATTTTCAGTTCGTTTTCTTTGTATTTAACTCCTCATTGTTTTTTTACCAGGCGTGGGCCGTCCCCTGACTTCATAGGTGCCAAACATTTTACGTTTTTCATTTCTATTTTGAGAGTTAATAAAAATTACCGCCTGTTTTTAATTTGCAGCAAGGACTCTTAGAAACTTTGACTTTTGCATTGCACATGACTATGTGTGTACTGTATACCTACGCCTACGGCAGCATGGCCTGCGCCCTGGGGCCGCTAGACGTGCGACCGGATTTCCTTGTTCACGACTCTTCATGTACATGTAGTACGGGCGCATGCTGGGCTTTGGATTTGTGACCAAACCGCAAAAGCCCGACCACACTGACTTGTTGTGTTTGAACCTTCGGTAGCCAGGATGACGCATTTGTCACCAAACTATTCTAAAAAGCAGAGTCCTTCCTATGCAGTTTACACACGCGTATTGGCCTCAAATCTATTGCATTTCATGGTGCAGACAGCTTTCACTCATTTCCCAAATTCCTCCAAGGGAAATTGATCTCGACTCCGAACTCATTCTATACCTTGGGCACCCTGGACGGAAACCTTAGACTAGGCAAGGACTGCTGTGAAATAAAACACACAATAGGAGTTCACAAAGAACGAAACAGCATGCTGTCCGCAGATTGAGTATGTTCGCTCCTGCTCTTTTAGTAGTTGAGCACTCTCATGTGGGGTAGTGCCTTTGCTGTTTGCATTACGTAGAGCTCACTGACTTGTCAGTTCGAGCACTCTGGCAAGGGACGTTCGGGCCTGATTTAAATCTGGCTTTGGAAATTTTATTTTCATTGCTATCAGGTTCGGCCTCATTTTCTCTGTGCTGCGCTGAGGAGTGCACAAAGAACGAAACAGCATGCTGTCCGCAGATTGAGCACAATACTATCTATGTATGCGTGTGCATTGAAAAAAAGTCAAACCGAAGTCGCCAAAGTCATGTACTTTGTACAATGTCATGTATGTGTGTACTGCTCAGCATATTTCGTGCACTGAGCACTCTGCTTCCAGCCAGCTGCATGTACATGTACATGCACCTCGACCGGTCTTGTTTGTTTGGTGAATGCATGTACATGTACGTACAGTCAACTTCGCAAATAACGAGTGCGGATATAACGACAAATCCCGAATAACGACAGAATTTCCATGCCCAGAGCAAAGTCCCATGTAACTGTAATACGTATAAGGAGACTTCGGGTATAACGACACTTCGCGAATAAGGACACACTTTTCTGATGCCCCGCCGAGTGTCGTTATAAGCGAAGTTGACTGTACTGTACTCGAGTTAACTCGCTAAGCCGTCCCGCGGCCTTATGGAACTGCCGGGTGCTCTGGCCGAGATGCGCAAGGTTTGTATTCAACGCCTACCGTGGGTACGCTGTGATCATCTTGAAAGGTTCCTGTACATCTGAGGTCCATACCCTTCTCAGCCTGGAAGGTACTACTCAGGGATGTCCCCTGGCAATTGTAATGTACGCCATTGGTCTGCACCCTCTGATTGAGAGTTTGAAGGAACCCAGCCAGCACACCCAAAACTGGTACGCCGATGATTCTTCTTGCGCAACATCAGGAAGTGGCTCGACCGCCTTATCGATCAGGGTGAAGCTTTCGGCTACGTAGCAAGTTGAGCCGACAAAGAGTATCATTATTGTTTCCCAGGATCTCGTTCAGCAAGCTAATGATATCTTTGGGGATCTGTACATCAAAGTAGCCACATCCGCCCGTTTCCAAGGAGGCTGTATAGGTTAACCCGACGGAGTGAAATCGTTTTTCAAGGGGAAAGTGGAGACGTGGGTGAGCAGTGTCAATTGCATTGCCGCTGCTGCCAGGAAATACCCCCAGTCTGCGTATTGTGCGTTGAATCGCTCGCTCTCATATGAGTGGTCATACCTCCAGCGTGTTGTCCAGGGTCTTGAAGAGGAGTTTGCTCCGCTTTTAGACGTCACCCAGGAGCAATTTGCCCAGCCATCCTTGGGCGGGAGGTTCTTCCTCGGGAACACCAGCTCCTCACCCTGCCAGTCCAGTATGGTGGCTTGGCTTTGGCCGATCCTGTCCACACGGCACCCAAGGCTTACCAGAACACGAGAAACGCAACTGACATCCTGCGCAACTCCATCCAATCTGGTAACCCTGTAAACACAAATGATCACAGCGCTCACTGTCGCCGCATCACAAGCCAAATCAGCAGGGAACGGGATGTGATTTCCGCTGAAATCAGCCAGTCCACCCTCAGTGGCCTGCCACAGCTTGAGGAGCGCACCCACTACCACATTGTACGGGGAAATGCCTCCGGATGGCTTATGGTGTTGCCCCTGAAGCGCGAGGAGTATGATCTGTCGAGTACAGAATTCCGAGATCAACTTGCCATCCGCTATGGGCGGCAGCCGCTTGCCCTGCCAGCGCAATGTGATGGTTGCGGTAAGCCCTTCTCTCTTCAGCATGGCCTTGACTGCCCCAAAGGTGGACTTATCAAGAGAGACCACAATGATCTGCGTGAATGGTAGCAGTGCAAAGCTAGCTGATATGCCATTAGGTGGTGTTGTCGGCGAGCCGATCATGGTGCGGGAGGATGATCGGACGGGGCAGCCTGATCTTCGGGCAGATTGGCTTGCCCGGGGTGTGTGGGAGGATAACAGGGTGGCCTTTTTGGTAATCGCATCATTGATGCCAACGCACCCAGTTACCCCCATTCATCCTGGGAAGCTTCTTCCAACCGCGCTGCTAATGCGAAGAAAAAGAAGTACCGCCAGCTATCAGAAGCGACTTGCTGGTCGCCTCGCGTTCAAGTGGGACAAGCCTTTTTCAGTCATCATGGCTTGGGTGCAATTTCGCAGCCAATTTGCAGTGTTCCATGCAGTCGACCTCCGGCTACGCGGGTCCAGAAGGCGCCGGACAGGCCTGGCGGGATGATGCTGGGGTAGGCATCGGCCATTGAGAACTGAATTTCATCTGTTCTACGTGGAATTTCTTGGAGTTTTCCAATGTATTGTACTTGAATAAAATTCTATTTTACCTTTCATGGTATATCTATTTTTTCACGTCTACATGACTTTATTTTGCAGGTAAAATAGGCCGTTACCCCCGAAAAAATGTACTGTACTCAATCAGTATCTCCTGATTGCTGACACCTCACACAACTCATGTACATGTACGTGTAAAACCTCGTGACATGACGGCATGGTTGATGCCTGTACTGAGGCTGGATACTTGTAGTGCGTGAATGGAAGGCACACGTCTGTGAACACAAAAATTTGTTTTTTAATATGCACGCCGGGATGGTACATACAATGTACATACGTTGTACATGTACCTGTGTTCTACCAACAGTCAACACCCTTGCGCACTCATGCCCCTATAGGTTCTCTATCAAAGAGTATACATGTAATTATAATTATACACCATTATGTCGAGTCGCCTCCACCATTACACTGCGCTCTTTAGCCGACTAGACCCTCCTGCACACAACCATCACCACTGCGAGGACACTTTCGTAGACGATATTGATAAACTCCTTCAGACAGCTGTTTCGCTAATACATAGCTCATCAGTGAAAGTAGATGTTGAATGATTAAAAATATAGACCAAACTGCTATTATATAGGGGTTTCCACATACAAAACTGGCATAGCTGGGTGATAACGCGGGAAAAGGAAAGTGTGAAGTCCTGTTGACGCGCATTGGACATGCATGCAGCGTCGGAAATTCGGCGCTGAAAATCAATCACTATCAAATGCAGAAATAACGTGCCAAAACCAGAGTACTATGTAGCTAGTGAAAGTCTGTGTACATACTAGTATTGCAGTTGTCCGAGCGTCATGAAGGCCCGCGAACGCACCTCACGACCCGCCGACGTCGACAGTCACAGCAGCCCCTGGGGCATGACACTGTACTGCTCGCCCGTCGCGCCAAGACGCTTGGCAGGCGCTAGGCTTCATGCCACCGATGTTGTCCGCAAACTACCTTGTTATCTGCCCATCACCCAGTGCCGCTGATACGCTAGGAGGCCCCGCGGCATTCGCCCAGTAATATCGTCGTCAGAGCTGTGTCGACGGTACAATAACGCTGGTAGCAACTGTCTGGTATTGCGTCCTCCGGATTGTCCCTTGACTCGGCTTGTCCCTCTTCTTGCTCTAACACTAACGCCGCACGTATCATATTATTACAGGGTGCGACAGAGCTCTAGGCCATTGAAGAAAATGTTGAGTCATGTAATGGTGGAGGTGACTCAACATTTTCTTCAATGGCCTAGAGCTCTGTCGCACCCTGTAATTATACACCACTATGCACAATCATGTACAATGTACATGTGTGTACAGGTATGCACATTATGTACATGTATGTACATAATGTGCATACAAGTACAATGTCATACCCATAACCATTATTATAATTATTGGCCGTAGCGGCATGATTGTGGCAATAAAAGAAGCTACTGCACAACACAGTTACAGTAACTTACACATACATTGCACATGTACATGTGCAATGTATGTGTCTGTGCAATGTATGTGTCTGTGGGGCAGTATACACAAACTGACAGGAACGGTATACATACAGTTGTACATGTACAATCATGGTATTAAATAACCCAATACTGGTTCAAAACCAGTATTACATACTAGTAAGCCTTGTTGTACATGTACATGTACATGTAGTTCACGCATATTGTTAGGTTGACAGCACGAAACAAGGTGGAGAACACTGTGTTCGGAAACAGCGGCCTTACTACAACCTTCCGCGGTTGGCAGAACCCAAAATTTGTACAATCATGTAGATTGGGAGAATATCAGAAATCTACCAACGGTCTAAGGCATTCAACGATTCATGGAGCGCTACATCAGGCGGATTGGTTTACCACTGCATAGTACATTCACATGTATATTGAATATACACGTACGAACAGTCCTGGCACTGGCGACCGTAAGTAGTTTTCCACAAAAAATCCCCAGTTATCATTCCTTCACTTTTCCCAAAGTGTCCCCGCAAAGTAGAACCTGGTCCAGACCCGTCTACCAAGTTCGATAGTGATGAAGATCTAGCCCTTTGCCAAAGTCTTCTTGTGTCCTTTCCCTATAAAAGGGAGGAAAGGGTCTTCCAAAACTACTAGTACTACTCCTCCATTGCATCTTTCAGCAAGTATATTTTTGTTGCGCAGGCAATTGCTAAGCTTTTCAGACTCTGATATTTTCTTTGCACGAAGAAGGATGGCCAACAATGTTTTTGTTCCCCTTGTACTGTCGGCGGTGGTGACGCTTGCCCTCCTGATTACTGTTCATGGTGAGTTTCCAGAATTTATCACCTATATGTATTATTACCTGGTTGCAATTCATTTTTTATAATCGGTAGGTTGTGGCGACGTACATTGTACATGTACATGTACATGTACATGTATATGATCGCTTGAATGTAGAGACGTTATCAATATTACCCTATTGCCGTCGAATACCTCAAACCGTGCATCTAGGAGTGCGTAGCCCAAACAGGAACCTGGAAAATGGCTGGTTTAGGAAAAAGGAAAGGTTCGGAGGTCCCACTTTTTGTACATGTGCAATGCACGTGAAGAGGGTAGACAGTGTTCCGTGTGTGGGCATTACGTTAGAAATGTCCTTGTCAAAACAATTTGGTGGCACTGCGTTCTTCTGCTTACCCAGGATTTCAAAACAACACTGAGGCGTGTGTTTCTTTCCCCCGGAATGTACATGTAATATCGGACCATCGCGTAATATAAAGTCCTGGTGAGATTTCTACTTCAACAAAGTGTTTCATTTTCGCGACAGAAGGTCATGATCACCACTGGTCTGGCCCCGCCCGGCGCACAGAAACTGCTCCATTCCAGTTCTATTCTGCATAAATGATTACTCCCGACAATGGCATCGTGTTGTTCTACGGCCATGAGCAATATAAAAATGGATCCTACGGGGAAAATGTTTTGTCCTGACCTCTTTTGTCACACTTGTCATTCAACTCAAGTAGAATTCAAAACCAGCTTTCGCAGAATGTATATGACTGACTATTCAAAATTGGAAAGCGTTTTGAATCTCGTGCGAAGAACGGATTAGTTGTAGCCAATTTGTAAGTATCTCCCCCTCCCCCCGCCCCGAATCTCGCTTTCCTGATGGGAAGGGTTAAAGTTACAGACGCACAAAGAACATTAACGGTGATATTGCTCAGATGATTCGTGACAAGGCCACTTCATATACCCATCCGTACAATGTAGTAAGCAATGCCATAATTAGGGTATTGATCAATACAATATTCGAACAAGGCCTTCAGACACTTTGTACATTGTATCTGATAGGAGTAACATTGATTTCTGGTGCCCATATTTCTCTTCACTTCTCACATCGTATATGGGTTATGCATTGCCAATATGTTTTAGCTTACTGCGTGCACATTGTTTGTTTCCCCACACAGATGTACCAAAGTGGTACGAGCAGACCCTGACTGACAGGTTCGGAAATAGCAGAAAAGACAACACCGGAATTTGGCGGCAATGTCAAAAGCTGAACGTAGCAGGACGCGAGTCGACTACATGCGCCGTGTTCAAGATCACGTCACTAAAGGTTCCCGGTAAGCCTGCAGTTCGAGATGGAAGTGCACTTGCGAATACTGAACGATGATAGCTCTGTGTTAATTTCCTACCACTCCGCATCGTTCCATCTGTTTTACATATTTGTCTCCTCAGTTTGCTCTTCTTCATAAGCTGTTGACGGAGACTCCCTCGATTTAGGCTTAGGATTGTGGAGAATGCATAAATACAAACAAATAGCAAATTTGTTGAGGGAAAACAATCAAAACTTATTAGGCTGGGCAATCCCAAGAATGAGACAACGACACAGAAAATATATAAAGGCCTGATTGACAAATGCTGGTTGCAAAACGTCAAGCCGAGCTGCCCACCATAGTAAATGTAATCATTACGTGACGTTTTGGTCTCATTTTCATATCTATAGATCTCGCGCCTCTTTGTGTGGTACACTTCTAGGGTACGTAATTCCTGATACGGAAAGCACCATATAGCCCGATGGTGCGAGATCAACACGGGCAAGATCTGTTTAGTCTATTGCCGTATAATGCACGTAAAACCCCATGAACAGGATACCCACTCGGATTGTGCTGTAACGTGTTTAAACAAGTTACTGCACATCGTCGATGGAACCATTAACTACTAGTATGCAACGTATGAAGCAGTGTACCAGGTGGATGTAAAACAAGAAGAAGAGTTGACTATTTCGTTGCGACTCATCCAGATCTTTCCCATTGCTGTTGGCTGATGACCGCCTCGTGCATGAAATTCGGGCGAACAACGAAATCTTCATCCTCTTCTATGTGTTGAAAATACATGTACCGGTAGATGTGCCTTTGTGCATCGAGCACACTATTGATCATCATAGAATCTGTCTGTTTTACATTTGTACACTGTGCACGTACATGACTACAGGTTCATGTTGTTTGGACACAAGTATTTTTCAAAGTGTAAATGACCACCATAGTCCCTATATTCTATAATGCGGTGCAGTCAGAAAGTGTACCAACTAGGCACACAACTGAAAGAGTACTGAGACATTCTATATGTCCATTTCCTTTCTACAAATATTATCCTCATAAAAAGGACACACTTCAAGCTCATTACAAACATCTTGAAAGTGTTTTGTCTTCACAAGTATACTTTGAAGCCTTCTCGTCAGGTGAAATACGGGTAAGGGAAAAGGAACAGGAGCAGTGGATTAAATACAGAAAGAATGTAGTAAAACAGCGCAAAGGTTGGGTTTCTTTGTGTGGTTGTATACGGCTTCCAAAACATTCAACCTTTGCAAGCAGAAACAAATTAAATTCACACTTAGGCTGTTAGGTAGGTCGTCAAAACCTCGTTCGTTACATGTATGTCCAGTGTTGTCTCTTGTTGTCGCACTACATGGCACGCTTATTGAGTTTTCTCGCACTTGCACCTTCGTGTCATTATTGCAATTGTTGTCTCATTCTTGGGATTGTATATCATGATTGCGCTGTTTACTTTAGCTATCTTCTTCTTTGCGCTGTTTTACTGCCTTATTTATGTATTTAATCCACTGTTCCTGTTCCTTTTCCCTTGCCTGTATTTCACCTGACGAGAAGGCTTGAAAGTATACTTGTGAAGACAAAAACTTTCAAGATGTTTGTAATGAGCCTGAAGTGTGTCCTTTTTATGAGTATTATCGCATTTTTGTCTCTTTTTTCTATTTCTGAATTCAGCCAGCCTCCGTTCGGCTCAGTCCCTCTCCATTATAGCCACAATATTCGCAGGTATAGCCTTGATCGGCACCTCGTTCATTGAGTATGACAGCACAAAGGTCGGGCTCCTGCGGGTGCCTTCCATCTTCTTCGCTGTATCTGGTACGTATGGAGTGATAAGTGTCCAGACAAGAAGGGAGACAGAGAAAGATAGAGAAAGAGAGAGAGAGAGAGAGAGAGAGAGAGAGAGAGAGAGGAAGAGAAAGACAGAGACAGAGACAGAGACAGAGACAGAGACATCGAATGAGATACAGAGACACAGAGACACAGAGAGCGCGAGAGATAGAGATAGATAGGTAGATGGATAGATAGATAGATAGATAGATGGATAGATAGATAGATAGATAGATAGATATGCTGTCTGATGAAGTGTTTTCACACGAAACTCGGACTAACAACGGAAAGAGACTTGTTTGATTCATTGCTGTGTAATATTACTGGCTGTGCCCACTGGACATTGAGCACTGTAAGCAGTCTAGGGACTTTAGACGATAGATAGACAGATTGATAGATTGATAGATAGGTAGATAGATAGAGGCAGAGACCAAGCAGGGCTAGACCCGACTGTAGTGACGTGCTCTGGATTATTTTGAAAGAAGTGCAATCTAATCTACAGGTGCATATGCTCGAGCAAACATACAATGTAGATGTGTTGTAAGTTTGCTCTGCATTAGGATAAGCGGATCCACGCATTTTGCATGGATTCTGAACTAGCTCCGCAGTTATGTGATACCATTATCCACCACTTCATACCCAAGGCCAGTTTGCAGTTCATCATTCTAACACCCAACCCCACTACGCCTGGATCCTGGAAGGCATTTGCAATGTTTTCCTCAGAAGGTTAATACGCATTTTTCTCTTCCATGTGGAACTATTATACAAGCATAAAATTTCTTCTTGTACAAAAGGTGCTTATCATTATCATTTTTAATTGAACATGAATAGGAGGATGAAAAAAGTGTTTTTAAAGCGAGTTTCACGCTCTAAGCGATCAACAGAAAACAGCATTTTTAATTCAGGACAATACCTGTTGATCTTTCGAATGGTGCCAACAGAACGGGAATGTATGTCTTCCTGCCATTCTTCATTGTGTATTGGTATCTTTCTGGTTATTTACTCAGGTATCGCGATTGCCCTCGCAGCTCTCAGCTTCGTCGCCTTCATCAGGCGGGATGCCAATCTCCAAACGTCTCGCCCCAGCGTGGGTCTGAGCGTTAAAGCAAGTTATGGTGCCAGTTTCATCATCGCATGGATCACGCTGGTTCCGGCCTTCGCTGCAGCCTTGCTGGCACATGTACATCATTCCGCGAAAGCTGCTTCAGCCTAATCGCGTAAGAGCAATGTTAAAGTACCGATTGAAGCTTCGCCCGGGGCTATTCAAGAAAACGGTACTGTGGCCTAATCGACAACAATGTTTCATATTATATAATTGAAGTTTCTCCCAGGGCTATCCCAGGGACCCTCGCTTGTAGCCAACGATGCTCTAACCCTTGAGCTATGGTGTAGTCGTCATCCCAGCAGAGACCGTTCAACATTTTCTTCAGACTTCGTAACTCACATTTCCTGAATAATAATAATAATAATAATAATAATAATAACTCTTTATGTTGTGCTGAACCCCGTTTTCGGGGGTTCCGCTGACTGAACATTATTTTAAAAATAAAGTATGAAAGTGATTTATCGTGTCCGTCCACGTCCTTACAAGCGTTCAATAATGCACTGACTCGCCTTAGAATTAGGCCAAAAACCACATTGCCTTTGCTCCTCGAGGGCCGCGTTTTACCGACCTACGTGTACATGTACATACATGTATGCTTACGGTCCACTGATGATAGTGTAGGCTGCGCTCTGGATTTATTTCACATATAAAATTAATAATTAGACTAGCTTTCAAATCGAAATCAATCCATTAATAACTTTTCTCAGCCTCTTTTGTTTGCCTATCGATCGCTGTTCAAGCACCAGACCCTCTCTTTCTCTCTCTCTCTCTCTCTCTCTCTCTCCTTATCCACTTCCCTCCCTCTCTGGATTTTCACATATCACCTTTTCGTACGTATACATGTAGAATTTGTACTGATCTTCTCTCTCAGCCTGGGTCTTATCTTGTTAGTGTACTTGTGTCATTTCAGAAACATTGTTCAGAATGTATGCTGTTCAACAAAATTATTCCCATCTGTGCATAGAATGGCTTATTCGAAAACTCCATGTCTGCTTACCTGGCTTGGGCAAGTCGGCACTTGTTGCCGAGTGCAAGGCCTACATTTCAAGGCCATCCGTGCCTCTCCTTCCTGCAGCACTACGGAATTATACTGTGAGGTTTTCACGCCACCATTTCGCTCTGCGTGGCGCAATCATCCATACAGCTTCTAAGTTACGAAATGTTCTACAGAAAAGAGCCTAACAGACGGTCTCTGCTTGAAGCAACGGGCTTTAGTTGTGATTTAAACACGTTGAACCAGTCTCAAGCCAATCCAAACGCACTTGCTCAGGTTTACAAGAACAGAGAACAGGAAACGTTTTGACTCTAGCCTAGGTCTACGTGAGCTGTGGCCGTGCGCGTCTACCTACATGTATCTGGGCAAAGCGTTGCTATGGACTCATCCCCGAAACATTATGGATGTGTTCCTATGGTTAGCAAGTGGTCTGCAGTGTACAGTCAGTAATGCTGATCTTACCAATCAGTTACATGTACATGTACATGCACAAGTGCACGCGGGGAGCCTGTAGCCGCCGCACTGTGAAAACTGGGCAGAGAACATGACAATTTCATGTACAGTCATGAACATTATTATTATTTTAATATAGCTATGAATAGGATGAAGGCCGCAGACACCACGCAACTACGCTACTTGTTCGACATGTATTTACTGTGTATTTTATAACAAAAATATTATTGAAAACCCATAATCGATTTTCTTGTTCCTATCATCAGTGGGAAAAATACGGAACTAAGGATACAACCAAAGAAACTGAAGTTAAGTACTGTAAATAGAAAGGTGTTAGAAATAACAACAAGATACAAGTGCAATAAAACCACTAGAGGAAATGCAAAAAAGGTAACAAGATTACGTAACCAAAGGCGAGAAGGCGCTAAACGAAGTGTCAACCTACGAATACAACTTCAGTGCAACAAAGTGCTCCTTCTGCTTACACAAAACAGGCTTATGAATACGTATACAGACTGCCTCAAGGACTTTCAGCTGTTGGACATAATGCGCACGACACAGTACGAGATAACAAGCGTAGATACACAGCTGACTTCTTACGATCAACACATTCATCCGCCTCATCTCGCTCCTTCCCACCCGACTCCTCCTCGTCCATCTCATCATCCTCTTCCTCGTTCCGCTCGTCATCCTCACGATCATCATCACTACCATCATCTGCCTCGTCCTCTGTCTCCTCACCAACAGTTTGGTCATCCAATTGCTCTTCTTGCTCTTCTATCCTCTGATCACCTGTCTCATCCTCCGTTTCTGTACAGACTACTTGTCTCCCATTTGCTAGCTGCTCTTCCCGTGAGCGGAGTTGTTCCTCCAGATCCGCTTCACTCACTGACTCATGATCCTGCTCGACCTTCTTTCTGTTGGTATTGTCCACAACGCGCGGTCCTTGGCCGCTTCTGGCATAAATATCTGTGGAGTAGTTTGCTGTTGCCCTCCGAGGTCTCTGGATTAATGTGGGAGCCATCTCAATTCGTGTGAGAGTTGGTGATGCCAGCGCGGGTGTAGGTGGGTCCACTGCAGCCCCGCCACAAGAAGAGCCTATTTATTATTACTTATTACAACATCTCAAGACTCGGCGGAAACACCGGGCAATGTTACGAGAGTGGGCGATTGCCAACAACGCCGATAAATAAAAATAAGGGGAGGGAAAAAGAAAGAGTAGCAAAATGAACAGCAACAACAACTCCGTAAAGAAAGATAATGTCAAATAAAAACAGTGAAAAACACAGAGACGCAAAGGACATGTGGATAAGGAGCTATATATGTCGTAGTAAATAAGGGGCAGCACGGATCTTAAACAGGCGGAGTGAGGTCAGGTCCTTAACTTCTCTGGGTAGAGTGAGCCAAACAGAATAAGCTATATAGAGAGGGGAGCGTAAAAGAGTGGATGAGTTACACTTAGGGAGTAGGAGCGAGTTTCTAGTTCTTAGAGAAGAGAACCAATTAAAACACATGAGATGAGGTGGGCACAACTCAAGCTTAATAGAATGGACAAGAGAAGCCAGGTGTGCACTGCGTCCATGTGATAACGGGGTTGTGTGAGCGATTTTATAAAGGGCGGATGATGAGAGCATGCGGGGTTGACGGAGGAGAATTTTCTAAAAGGATTTTCTTGTGGTGTATTTCAAGCTTTGCAGCAGCGGAAGAGGATAATCCAACCCAAGACGTATCGGCCTAATCAAATATTGGGCGAAGGTAGGCTAAATAAAAAAGAAGCTTGCAAGAAAGTGGGAGGTAGGAGCAGTTGGGGGGGGAGAGAATTCCTAAGGATTTACTTGATTTTTTACAGATATATTCGATGTGGGGTACCCAAGAGAGTGCAGAGTCAATCACAATGCCAAGGTGTTTGTGAGAAGACAGTATGTCAATTGGATTTGGAAAGTTGACATGGATGAGGGTTGTGAACTCCGACTGGGGCGGGAAGAGCATGATCTTTGTTTTTGATAGATTTGGGGACAACCTCCAGGACGACATCCAGGAAAGAACTTCCTGAATGCCAGCACGCAAGTTGTTTTTCATGCCAGTGAGGGAAGCTGATGAGGTGAGAAGGGTCGTATCATCAGCAAACAGAGACGTTCCAGGGAAGACTGCAGGTAAGTCGTTTACGTAAATTATAAATAGTAGGGGACCAAGAATTGATCCTTGAGGAACGCCCGACAATACTGGCTCTGCAGCCGAGGATGTGCCAAGCACAGTTACGTACTGATAACGCCCAGAGAGATAAGATTTCAGCCAGGAGAGTGGTTGTTTGCGTACCCTGAATGCATGCTCGAGCTTTGCCAAAAGTCCTCGATGCCAGACGGTATCAAAAGCCTTGGCCAAGTCAAAGAAGCAAATGCCAGCAAGCGCTCTGTTATCCCTATGCTGCCACACCTGCTGCACGACATATACACGTACATGTACATGAGACAGATAGAATGGCAAATACAGGCAGGGACTACCTGTATCATGAATGGAGCTATCTTTGAAGTTGAGTGGAGATTGTCAAGTTCTATTTTCATTTTTCTTTGAAAAATATAAACGAGCACAAATTCTCAATGACAAGGCAGCAAATATGTTATTGTGTTACAGGGGAGGGAGGAGGTGGTGAGAAATTAATGAGAAAGAAGAGAGAATGGTAGATATCTCAATGATAACTCAATGGAGAGCGAAGCGTTATCAAACCTACATGTACAAGTAAGCCAGCGAATGACAGTTCTGTGACCTGCCTAATAAGACACTCTTAAAACTAAGTACTAACTGCTAACGAGAGTACTTTCTACTAAACCTGCTACTAACATCGGAGGATTTTATGTTTTTTTTTGTTTTAAAAAAGGCCCAAATTCTGCCCTGTCAGTTACGGACTTACGAGGGTCGCCAAAGCAGATAATAATGGTAAACAGTGAAAATCAATCACAGACAGCAAGCTGTCTCAGGACAAGTGTATATTTTAACATAAGGAGGATCGGAGGGTAGACATGTACGGTACGACGGCGGCTTTGAAGCAAGCTGCTGAGAGACGACAGTACTCTGACTGCATCCGGTAGGACGTTCCAAAGGGCACTACCTTAGGAGGCAGTGCGAGATCGTCCGGCGCGGGTTCGTGTAGCTGGCAGACGGAGCCCCAGCGCGAGATCGAGGCGCGTCCTATGATCCGCGCAGCGTACGAAGAGCTCCTGGAGGGATGGACTCGCACTGGCGTGTATGCAGTGTGTGTACCCCCAGACACAATGGTGCCTAATTCTATGGACGCGAATTTGAAAGCGGAAGAGAGGTACGGACAGAGAGAGAGAGAGAGAGAGAGAGAGAGAGAGAGAGAGAGAGAGAGAGAGAGAGAGAGAGAGAGAGAGAGAGAGAGAGAGAGAGAGAGAGAGAGAGAGAGAAAGAGAGAGAGAGAGAGAGAGAGAGAGAGAGAGAGAAAGAGAGAGAGAGAGAGAGAGAGAGAGAGAGAGAGAGAGAGACAGAGAGAGAGAGAGACAGAGAGACAGACAGAGACAGAGAGACAGAGACAGAGAGAGACAGAGATAGAGACAGAGAGTGAGAGAGAGAGAGTGAGAGAGCGAGGGAGAAAGAATGAGAGAGAGAGAAAGAGAGAGAGAGATAGAGAGAGAGAGAGCTAAGGAGAGATATATATAGAGAGAGGAGAGAGAGGGGGGGGGAAGAAAGAAAGAAAGAGAGAGAGAGAGAGATGCTTCATGCTTTCATCTTCTTTCCCGGTGTGATTCATGTGGTGAAGACGGGATGTGAATTATGGCTCGGGAATCACATGCCTTTGACAGTTCTGAAAATTCGGTTGTTACCTGGCACAAGTCTCGATCTTCTCCAGTCACGTACTACCAGCCAGTTGTAGCGTTCACACAAAAGTCACAAACCATGAGTGCCTGACGGGACCAACAACTAAAATTCACCTCTAGGAGTTGGAGTTTCACTGTGAAAGCAAGCCATTCGAACGCCGAGCCGTACATCTTCAATCCTCATGTGAGTCATGTCTTTCTACTACTTCTTCCGCTAAGCAAAACTGCGTTGCTTTTTTAGTGTTCTTGTTATGATATTTCTGTCGGCATTAGACATACATGTCAGTGATCTACCCCCTACATAGAGTAGCTGAGTTGTCGTCCATTGTTCTGACAGGCTTTTGAACCTCCGAAAAGTGTGGAGTCCTTTGAAAAAATCGGCAAAGCAGAACCGTTTCTCGACAGGATGTCACCAGAACACAACCCCAGGCGCACGCGCATGACACCAAAGTGCAAAAATGAGAAACAGTTTGAAAGGCGCGTGGCTCCAAGAAGTGTCCAGCAGCCGGCCTGCACTCAGGCACTGCTCTACTAGCACGAGTCGATGGTGCGCGTCCGCACACAACCAAAATCAATGCACTTGTGTTTGCAGCGCAGGGGAAATCAAAAGCGTTCGACATTCAGGTTTTCATTCAGTCTGCGCAAAATCCTGTTCTCAACATCGACGACTTGGCGTTCTTCCACAGCCTGTAGACAGACGTGTC